AAGGAGTGCTAAATAAGAAAAATAAAAACAATTAAGGAACTTATGAGGTATTCCAAACGACAATAATATGTAAATTTCTTAATTGTCTAGGGCTAAACTAGTTTAAAGATAGCATAATATAAAATCTAAATAAATAATAAAAAATCATGGTAGACGCCCAAGAATGAATTAATAAGGAATTTTCTACCCGAGAATTGAAAGAAAGGGTTGAAAAACTATACATTAAAAATGATCAAGGTGTTGATAGTGATAACGGACAAAATTATTACTTTTATAAAACGCAGTTAGAGGGAGAGTTAGATCTCAATGAATTTGTTAATCTTAAATATTTGGAAATTAAAGGTAGTGATTTTGGAATTGGCACTTATCAAAAACTAACTAACATTGATTTGACAAGTTGTGAAAAAATAAAAGAACTTTATCTTTGTCGTAACGATGGTAATTTAGTGATTGAGGGAAATAACACCCTTAGTGTTATAAAGTTGGAACGCTGTGAAAATTTAGTTAACTTTCCGGTTTCAGAATTACTGTCCAAACTTGAAACTTTAGATATTAGTCTCTGCCCTAAATTAAAGACGATTCCTAATTTAAAAAAATTAAGGAATTTAAAAACCCTTATTTTTTATGATTGTCCAAATTTGACTGAATTAGAAGGATTAAACGAACTTAGCAAATTGGCAAAATTTTCTATTAATGAAAACCGCCATCCTTATAGTGCCCGTGATTGTAAATTAACCAACCTTGATTTAAGCAAAATGGATAACTTAAGCAGGCTATTTTTGGGTTATTGTCCGCAGTTAGAAAATTTAATTCTGACTGATTGTCGACAGTTAGATAATGCATCCCTATCTGATTGCTCGCAACTGAGTAAATTAGAGGGATTAGAAGGATTAAAAAGTTTAAAATCACTTGCTTTTACAAATTGTCCTCAGTTGCCGCAACCGAGTTTTGAGTTGATGGATTCCCTACAAAGTTTAAACATTGCTAATTGTCCAAAATTTGCTTGTCAATCTGAGAGTTTACCGCCCAAAATTGTTAACCTTAGGTTTGCTTCTCAGCAATTTTCTAATTACAATTTGGAAAAATTAGTGGCAAAAGAAAGTTTGACCAAACTAACTTTCTATTCTTGCTCGAATTTGAAAGAGTTGAATAATTTAGATAAATTGAACAGGTTAAAAAGTTTGTCCTTTTACTACTTGCATAATCTAATTAATTTAAAAGGTGTTGGCGAGTTAAATGATCTTACATCTTTGGTAATTGAAAGTTGCTCTAATCTGGAAAAAATTGAGGGCTTAGAAAAATTGGTTAAACTAGGTGACTTTAAATTTAACGGCTGTCCTAAATTACAAATTTTTACCCCTTTTGAACAATGAAAACAGAGTCTGACTCAAGCCGAACAAAAAATTCAAGGATTAGAGACGGAGGTGGAGACTGAGAAAAAAGAGAATCAGGAAATGAAACAACAATTGTCCGAATCTGAAAATCAGGTTGCTAGGTTAGAGAAAGACAAAGCAAAAGCAGAAGATGACGCTCGCCAAGAGTCGGCAGAGAAAATTAAAGAAATTGAAGAGTTGAGAAAGAAACAATTAACCGAAAATGAAAAAAGGATTTTAGAGAAATTAGAAGAGTTATTTAGTATTTTTGACAATAGAACCGAAATTGCTGATAAAGATATTGAAAATTTAGAAAAAGTATTAAAAGAGTATAGAAACCTTGATTTTACTAATACTCCTAATTTACCGGATAATTTTAAGTCCGAAAATGAGGGCGTGGTTAGTCATATAGAAAATTTTGTTAAGTGTTATCAAAATTGACAAATAGCCGAAAAAACTAAAGATGAATTAGAGGCTAATATCCAGCAAAAAGAAGAAGAGATTAAGGGACGAATGAAAGAAATTGATACTTTAAAATCCAGAGTTGAAAGTTTAAATAGTAGGTACGAACACGAAAGACAATTTGTTGAACAAGAGTTAAAAAAAATCACTGGGCTACAAGAGAAAATAGATGCTTTAAAATCAGAAAGTGGCCAACAGAAAACTTTGTTGCAAAAACAATTAGATGAGGTTCAAAAGGAAGTTAAACAATCGCAAGAGAAACTTGATGCAGAACAAACCAAAGCAGAATTCTTACAAAATAAATTGGAAGAATTAAACCAAGAAAAAAGTGTTTTGCAGGATGATTTGATTAAGAGAGACAAAGAGATAACCGAACTTAAAAAAAAGATAGAGATGCTTGATTTTCTAACCAAAGAAGTTGCTGAATCAGACGACAAACTAGAAATATTAAAAAATTTACATAATAATAAAATAATAACAACTAATATGAAAACCAATAACAACGAACAAAAAGTATATATTTTAGAATGAAAAAATGCCGAATTAAAAGACGGAACAATGCGTTATGAAAAATTTGCGGTAATTACCGGTAGTGAAAAAGAAGAATTACATTTTTACTCAACCTTTTTTATGGGCAACCAGAAATTTAAAAAAGGAGAGATTTATGAACTTTCTACTCCCGGAAGTTTTATACAAGATTCCTCCGAGATTATTCAAGGAACTGACCAAGGAGGTCATGAATTAGAAAGGGTTTTTCCCTCTTTGTTAATTAAAGAACTCTGAGAAGAAAAAGAAAGCAATTTAGGAAAATTAAGTACTCTTGAAGAAGATTTAGAAAAGAAGAAAGAAGAATTTAGCAAAAAAAATCAAGAGGCTTCTGATGCAAAGCAAGAACTTATTGAGTTGAAAAGAAAATTTGATGATCTTCAATTGAAAAAAAGACAAGCCGAAGAGAAAATAAGTTCTCTTGAAGAAAGCATTCAAAATAAGGAAGAAGAAAATCAGAAATTAAACCAAGAATTACATAACTCCAGAGATGAAACAGGTCAATTGCAAAGTAGAGTTACTAATCTTGAATATGAAAGAGATAAAATAAAAAGTGATCTTAAAACTGAAATAGATGAAATAAAAATTAAATGGGCTTCTCCGAAAGAAAGAAAAAAACTTACTCAAGAAAAAGAAAAATTGAGTAACGAGTTGAAAACGGAGAGAAGAGAAAAACAAAACTTAATTGAATCACTGGAAGATCTTCGTAATCGAGAGTGAAAAATGAGTATTCAGACTAAATTACAAGAATATCAAGAAAAGTTGGATATGTCAAAGGCAAAAGCGAATGAAAAGTTGAATGATGCTCAAAAAGTTTCATTTAACACTCTTTTAGCCATGCAAAGACAACTTGACGTTTTGGTTTTTAAAGGGGTTGACCAACAACTTTGCTCTGTAATCAAGGATCAATTGCTAGATGCTAAGGTAAAATTAGGTGAAAAACTTGATGCCGAAGAGATAGGAGAAATTTGTGAAATGCAAACCGAGATAGTTAAGTTGGAAAATAGTCAAACTCAGTGAGAGCAAATGGAAAGCCTTCAAGTCAAAGAAGAACAATTTGAAGCGTTTATGAGTACTCCTCCTATGACGCCAAGGAACAATTAATTTAATAATTTAAGGCACCCTCCTGTTTTGTGAAAGAACAGGAGGACATTTATTTTAATAAGAGATAAGAAATTTATATTGATATGACAATAACAAAAGAACAAACCTACATGATACTTGAATTAAATCAAGGTGATTCAGAATTGGAAATTAAAAAAGCCTACAGAAAATTGTCTCTACAACATCACCCAGAAAAAAATGGCAATTCCGAAGAAAGTCAGAATAAATTCCAAAAAATTCAGGAGGCTTATGAAGTCTTATCAGCAGGATGATCCGCAAATAGAAAATATTTTGGTTTTTCCGAAGAAGAAGTTGAAGAGTTACAAAAAGAGGCAAAAGAAAATTTAGACTGGTCTATATCTTTTGTTTTTTCTTCTGGTATAGGTAGTATAAAGTGTGCACTTGAATATGCTGAGGCGAGTGTCGAAGAAATATTATATTATTCTTCACCAGAACAGAATAAAGTTTATAAAAATTGGCTCAATGAGTTGTATCTAAGATGCAATTTAAATAAAAAGAAAGAAACTGAGGACTGAGTAAAAAAAAATTCTGGTGTCATTAGTTTGGTTTCTTCCAAAAAAGAATGCTGAGAAGAAGCACAAAAAGAACTTACTTCTTTTACAGAATCTGAACGAGAAAGGTATTTTAAAGAATTGCAAGAAATTAGAGAAAGAGGAGATGGAGAAATAGGAAAAATTGCTATCTTTAGACAAAATTTATTCAAAGCCGAAAGTAGAAAAATGTTGAGTGAAAAAATAAAAGACAGTTACGACTCTAAATTACTAACCGATATTATTAATATTGCAGTAATCATGTGTTCAGATGATGCTCCTCTTTATCAAGGAGAAGAAAATTATTGAGCAGATTGGATGAACGAAGGGAACATGTCATCAGTAGGAGAAAAAAGAGACATGATTCTTCAAATTTTAGAAGAATACAATGACGAAGAAGTCCTTATTAAGCAAAAAAATAATAGGTATTATGAGGTCCTTGGACTTTCCGAAGAGGTCTCTCTTGCAGCAATTAAAAAAAAATATCGAGAACTTTCTCTTTTTTCTAATTCCAAAAACTTATCCAGTCCGGTTAAAAAATTCTTAATTGCTTCCTTATCATCTGAATTAAGCAAATTATTTCCTTTTTTTATCTCTTCTTCTATTTTTTTTAGCAAATTAACTTTTGCTGCTCTTACTCCTGCGATTTTTCGCAATACTTTTGTATATAGGTTTTGTTTATTTTCATTAGTCTCATTAATTCCTGTTATTAATTCCTTAATTTCTAGTCTTTCGATTTGTTTTATGCAATTAATTTGCCCTGGCTCGTCTAATTCTTCCCTAGT